TGCAACTCTGATTCTTCTTCTTAATTTGACCATTCACCACGAAAATGTAAACAAACTTGGCGAGAAACAAATGAGATATGGAATTTAAAACGTGGCTCCAAAGCTACAAGCATGCCCAAAATAGATGTTGGCGTTTTTTCTGTAAATTCTTGCCCCAATATGTCCCCAATTGTTACTATTTAATATAAACCGCCTACCTCTACCTTATTTTAAAGATTTTGGATGCCTATACCACCTATAGACACTCTTCGGGGAATTTGCTCTTTGTTAGAGAAAAATCATTAGAAAAACTAAAATTCCTTGTCATTTAATTCATTTAAATTTATTGCGGATAAATTCTGACGCAATCTGTGCCTTTTGCTGTTCTACAACAGCCAAAATAGTTGGTAAATGCTCCATTTCAAATTTGCAACTGCCAATTCGACAGCCTTTGTTTACGTTTTCATGAGCCACAGCTAATCGATCAGCTGCTCGGATGCTTCGTCACCACCATGTGCCCGGGCTTCGCCGATCGAATAAAAAAGGAAATCACCGCCGAACAGAACTGGCTAGCTTGACAACGGTTGAACGAAATTACGGTTATCTCCGACATATTCTATATTAAACCAAGCCTAAGGCCGAGGATGTGGTCGCGCGGCCGCGGTCAACATAGTACTCCCAGTACTACAAATAATAAGAAATGTTCATCACAAATGATGAATCTGAATACACGGAACACTTGAAAATATCTCACCATATTCGTTCAAAAAGAAACAGAATGAAGATAAAACAAGAAGCAATAAAAAATCAGGTCGGCCGTGGTTGTTACCTCGTACGTATCCGAGACTTTGTAATTGAAATAACATTTTAAGTCCTTTAACAAGGACCAATTGGCGGTGATGCTACTGAACTGGAGCACACAGCCAAGCCTGGTCGACCCCCATCGAACAACAAGCAATGATTTGCGATATGGCCCTCTTTATATAGGGCCTGGCGAGAATTCAGTGTGACCGTCACTTTTGTACAAGATTTTACCATTTTTGGTGTGACCATTGCCAGCTTGAGCAAATGATTTGAATTTTAAAGCCTAGTACTCTGACGAGAAAAATCCGCTGTATAAATTTAGACAGCGGCCTAACTCCATATAAAAAAAACGGTGTCGAAAAAAGAAGAAGAACTTTTAGCCACGTCCTTTTTTCCGGTACTCTGACGACGAAAATGAAGCCTGCGAAAATTGAATGGCGTTGCCAGATCAAGATAGTAAACAGCTGATATCGCGCTGTCTAAATAATTCATTTGATTTATTTAGACACCCCTAATGGAGGGAAAGTTGAAGGAAAAAAAGTGGCATTGTTAGGGGCTGTCTTTAATATAATTTCCAGTTCGACAATATGGTAAGGACCAACAGTTTTCTTTGAATATTTTCGTATGTCGGTCAGCAACTTTGAGGAATTGTTCACCTTAGTAATGCCGCATTTGGTACAGAACAGAACTTCCCGTTCGGATGCAATACCACTGGAAGCAAAATTGGTCCTTACCCTTGAGTAACAATGGTACATTCGATGTATTCATAATTTAACATTTCATATTCTAGGTACCTCGCTTGCGGAACCTTGCAACGTCATATGGCCTCATGCTACCACATAAGTATGATTTTAGTAATTTTAGAGATTTGATTTAATAATATGTATTAATAGTACGATTACGTTTTTAATTAACTTACTTTCTTTTTCAATTAATAATTTTGCAATTAATTGATATGTAAACCCATTAATTTTATTTTATATTATTATTGATTATATAATATTATTTTAGTATATTATTTCTCTCCCTTTATTTTTGTTATTTCAAAAAAGAAATATTTTATTGAATCGTCACTTGATTTAAATACTTTTAGTTTTCACTGCGACTTGATTTAAATACTTCTAGTGAAAGTCACGGGGACTTGATTTAATTACTTTTTGAACAAATTATCAATTCACTAATATGTAATTTAAATATGTTACTAATAAAAACGACATTCTTTCTACCTATTTAACCTATTAATAATATATTAATTGATTAACCTTATATTTACCTTTTTAACTTTGAATATTTACCTTAATAATTTATTCTTTATTTTGTAGGACAAATTGAATTCTATATTTAACCATAAAACCCAAACATATCTCATAATTCCCTCCCTTATCTCATTAGGAATTCCATGTGGCCAACTCCTCAGGCTCTTCTGTTCATCCTATAAATGATGAATGATTTTATTCACGACTGCTGTTGGTAAATGTACGGGAACCAAAATCATCTGCGCATTTGAAAACTGTGAATGGCCATCAATGCCAATCATATCGAGAAGCATGTCAACTATTGGGTTTGCTGGAGAACGATTCTCATTGGGACTTAGCACTTGCGGATTCAATTGTTTCATCAAATGCGTACCAAATACGAACGCTATTCGCAATTATCATCACATGCTTTCCCTCACAATCAATTCAGTTATGGAACAAATACAAAGACGACATATGTGAAGATATATAAAATAAATAAATGAAATAAAATTAAATGACAAATTTAGAAAATAATTGTTTATAACATGGGCAGTTATACGTTGCGTGTTCACGAGTTGGGAAGCCATCCGCTTTTTTTGTCGGTTAACAACTTGTTTTACTTTATTTGGACTAACTACACGAATTGGAAAAAAAACAAGGGAAGTACTTTAGGTGTTCTCCCTTAGGCTCTGCGGATTTTCTTGCGTTCGCGGTAGAGGCTATCTTTCTGAATGTAGGGATCGAAGCGTATTATCTCAAATTTTTCGGCCAAACGATCACGAAAGGCATTAAGGGGGGGGTAAGGTTAATTCGGTGCAAAAAAGGCCACTTTTCAAAAAATTATTGTGGCGGAACGGCTAAAGTTAGCTTAATGAATTAAATACCATATAATAACACAACATTTGAATAATTTTTGATAAATTTTGTATTGAAAAATATTTAGAGGTAGAGAAGTTATAGGGAATCTCCAGAGTCGCCTCCAAAAAAAGTTGTTTTGCGGTGTACATCCTAACAGTCCACAGGATCATCCGATCTAAAAAAAATTATACCTCATTCGTTAAAGGATAAGTGTCCCGAGGTATTCACGAAGCGTTTTTTTTTTGTAGTTTTTTTGTGATTTTTTATGAAATTTGAAAGTCAAAAACCCGATTTTTGACTAAAAAAAAAACGTTATTTCTTAATTTAAAAATATATAAAAATTAAAAATTAAAAAAAGGCCGACGTGAATACCTGAGGAATTAGTTAAAGAATGTGTGTGCCAAATTTCAAATCGATCGGTCCAGTAGTTTTTCTGTAATCGTGTACACCGATTTGAAAAATTGAATTTTTCAGGAGAGCGCTTTAAACTTTGTGATTCCCATGCATTGAACACCAACCGACCTTCGTTCAACTCCGCATAACTTCGTCAATTTTACTCTGATCGATGTAAAACTTGGACACAATATTCTTAAGATGTTGAACTTAAAAATAAAAAATAAAAAAAAATTTACGAAAAAAAAAATTAAATACCTTACCCCCCCCTTAAACTGATGTCCGCTGACCGCACTTTCAAGCACAATCATGATGCGCTTGCTCTTCACTTTTTTTCAGTAAAACGTTTTTGTAACTAGCGTAAAGTAGAAATGCTGAAGCGCTAGGACGAAAATGAAAATAAAAACATGACCGCCGCTGTAGCCAGCTCGCTCAGCACATCATACATAGACACCAAAACAACCTGTAGCAGTCAAAACCCGAGCCTCATCCCCCAACAACTTTAGTGCCCGAAAAAAGTGGAAACCTATCACGCGAAAAAACGTATGAAACTCGGTGCCAGAAAATAGTGGATACAGTGAGCGAAAAAACGTGTTGGCATCGCCGAAATCCCTCGGCAGAAAACCACGCGGTTTCAACATAACTCTATTTTCTTTCCGTGCACCAAGAAGAACCGCACGCCGATACAGCTCCGTGCTACAGTGCGAGAAATCTGTCTCTGGATTTTCACTATATTATTTTGTTCCTGCAATATGAACATCCGCAAGCATCTGTTCGCAAACATCGTGTTGTCTGGCGGCACCACCATTTGCCCGGTCTTCGCCGATCGCTTAAAAAAGGAAATCACCGCCGAACAGAACTGGCTAGCTTGACAACGGTTGAACGAAATTACGGTTATCTCCGACATATTCTATATTAAACCAAGCCTAAGGCCGAGGATGTGGTCGCGCGGCCGCGGTCAACATAGTACTCCCAGTACTACAAATAATAAGAAATGTTCATCACAAATGATGAATCTGAATACACGGAACACTTGAAAATATCTCACCATATTCGTTCAAAAAGAAACAGAATGAAGATAAAACAAGAAGCAATAAAAAATCAGGTCGGCCGTGGTTGTTACCTCGTACGTATCCGAGACTTTGTAATTGAAATAACATTTTAAGTCCTTTAACAAGGACCAATTGGCGGTGATGCTACTGAACTGGAGCACACAGCCAAGCCTGGTCGACCCCCATCGAACAACAAGCAATGATTTGCGATATGGCCCTCTTTATATAGGGCCTGGCGAGAATTCAGTGTGACCGTCACTTTTGTACAAGATTTTACCATTTTTGGTGTGACCATTGCCAGCTTGAGCAAATGAATTGAATTTTAAAGCCTAGTACTCTGACGAGAAAAATCCGCTGTATAAATTTAGACAGCGGCCTAACTCCATATAAAAAAAACAGTGTCGAAAAAAGAAGAAGAACTTTTAGCCACGTCCTTTTTTCCGGTACTCTGACGACGAAAATGAAGCCTGCGAAAATATATAAAATAAATAAATGAAATAAAATTAAATGACAAATTTAGAAAATCATTGTTTATCACATGGGCAGTTATACGTTGCGTGTTCACGAGTTGGGAAGCCATCCGCTTTTTTTGTCGGTTAACAACTTGTTTTACTTTATTTGGACTAACTACACGAATTGGAAAAAAAAACAAGGGAAGTACATTAGGTGTTCTCCCTTAGGCTCTGCGGATTTTCTTGCGTTCGCGGTAGAGGCTATCTTTCTGAATGTAGGGATCGAAGCGTATTATCTCCAATTTTTCGGCCAAACGATCACGAAAGGCATTAAACTGATGTCCGCTGACCGCACTTTCAAGCACAACCATGATGCGCTTGCTCTTCACTTTTTTCAGTAAAACGTTGGTCAATCTCATTTTGATTCAGTAAACTTGGTAAACACACAAAACAAAAAGAATTCCGCAGATTCTAGTGCAAGCGTATAAGTCGAACGTTTGTATTCACGTCAGACCAAACAACAAAAAATGTGGTTTATCAAAGAGCACTTCAATGAAACGGATAATTCGGGGACAGTATTTACTTTAGATTCACTGTTATTTACTTAAAGAAGTTCAACTAAATAAAATAATACAATTAATACTACTTAAATAAAAAAAGAAAAACAAATTAGTTAATAGGAAAACAATTTTTTTTTAAATGAAATTTTTTGTAACTAGCGTAAAGTAGAAATGTTGAAGCGCTAGGACGAAAAAGAAAATAATAGCATGACCTAGAGAATGTTTTTAAATCCATTCCAATTTATTTACAACTCAATCATGAAGTGCAATATGAACATCCGCAAGCATCTGTTCGCCAACATCGTGTTGTCTGGCGGCACCACCATGTGCCCGGGCTTCGCCGATCGCATCAAAAAGGAAATCACCGCCCTGGCTCGGTGATTCGGTGCAACTCTGATTCTTCTTCTTAATTTGACCATTCACCACGAAAATGTAAACAATTTGGCGAGGAACAAATGAGATATGGAATTTAAAACGTGGCGCCAAAGCTACAAGCATGCCCAAAATAGTTGTTGGCGTTTTTTCTGTATATTCTTGCTCCAATACGTCCCCAATTGTTGCTATTTAATATAAACCGCCTACCCCTACCTTATATTAAAGATTTTGGATGCGTATACCACCTATAGACACTCTTCGGGGAATTTGCTCTTTGTTAGAGAAAAATCATTAGAAAAACTAAAATTCCTTGTCATTTAATTCATTTAAATTTATTGCGGATAAATCCTGACGCAATCTGTGCCTTTTGCTTTTCTACAACAGCCAAAATAGTTGGTAAATGCTCCATTTCAAATTTGCAACTGCCAATTCGACAGCCTTTGTTTACGTTTTCATGAGCCACAGCTAATCGATCAGCTGTTCGGATGCTAAATGCGCTTTAATGTTGTGTGGGAACACGAGTTTCACATTTGTGAAAAATCCCAAACGTTCCTCACAAATGCGCTGTGTGGGAAGACAGTATTAGAAAATATTCATCCTAATATTAATATTTTTATATATAATATAAATTTAGATTTATATTAAATAAAAAGGTCTTCCGAACATAACATTTTTAAGACAGCTTAGTAGCCAGCGATAATCCTTACATATTTAAGTTTAGTCAAAAAGAAAAAATTTATCTTAATATATAAAAATCTCCTGTCACTATGTTTGTTCGCTATAGACTCCTAAACCGCTTAACAGATTTCGTTCAAATTTGCAGGCAATATGCAGTTTGGTTCAACTTGAGAGATAGGATAGCTTAGATCTTTTACATCATGGCAGTTTCGGCAGAACAAGGAGGAATCTTCTTTTTTTTATGCACTCCTCCGAAACGGCTTTACCGATTCTCATGAAATTTAGTGTGCTTATTATTATTATAACCAAATCTTTATGCTTTGCTCGGGCTATTTTGTTGATGAGTTTGCACAAAATTGGTCGAGCGGTTCTTCACGTATTACATATTTTGTAAGAAATTATTTCAATAAATCGCATTTCGTCAGATTGTTGTTTCTATTATTGTCATTTGTCATTCATAATTATTGTTTTGCGTTTATAAGTGGCGTGTCTCTAAATTCTCATTTTAAATACATTAAGAAGGTAAGATTTTATTTTCAGTAAAATGCCACCGAAAAGATCGAATCTCAACAACGTAAGCAGCAGAGTGGCACGACGCAGACGAAAGAAGCTCATCAGTTGCTAGAACAAGTCAATACAAGAAATAGAGCTCAAAGAATTAGGACAGCAGAAGGTCGTGCACAATCGTAATCGTGCACAATCCTAACTATATCGAGAAATGTGCCTACCCCAAGAAGGATATCGTTTTCCAGCAGGATGGGAATCCGAAGCACACAGGATTAGAGATGGTCGGCATGGCCCACAAGGACTGGTACGTTGGTGATGAGGCCCGACATCGCTAAGCGGTACGTCCGTAAGGCCAAGCTTACCCACGTTCTCTTTTCTTCCGGATTGTCAAAGTATACAGACGTGTTTAAGTGCAACTCAAAATTAAAAAAAAAAAAAAAAAAAACAACCCAGCGAGGGTTAAGTAATTAAAGTGCCTTAAAATACCCATCCGCCAGCCATCCATACGAAGAAAGGAGAAATATCATTCCCCTATTCGTGCCAGGCCTTTTTGGGTAATTATTTTTACAAAAAAGGGGCATTGTCAATATTTTTCCTGATTTTTTTTCGTTTTGTTACGTAGATCTGGCACCAAGTATTATGTGGCCCAAACTTAATGCCACCAATCTTTGTTTAATTGAGCAACAACTCAATAAAGAGGCCCCCCAAGTCATCAATTGATCATAAAAGATCAGTCGCCGCTGTAGCCAGCTCGCTCAGCACATCATACATAGACACCAAAACAACCTGTAGCAGTCAAAACCCGAGCCTCATCCCCCAACAACTTTAGTGCCCGAAAAAAGTGGAAACCTATCACGCGAAAAAACGTATGAAACTCGGTGCCAGAAAATAGTGGATACAGTGAGCGAAAAAACGTGTTGGCATCGCCGAAATCCCTCGGCAGAAAACCACGCGGTTTCAACATAACTCTATTTTCTTTCCGTGCACCAAGAAGAACCGCACGCCGATACAGCTCCGTGCTACAGTGCGAGAAATCTGTCTCTGGATTTTCACTATATTATTTTGTTCCTGATTTATTTTAAATTTCCTTACTTTTTATATTTTATCCTTTATTTTCAAAGTATTATTTTAAATTTTTTGGTTAATTTTCAAAATTATTATTTTGTATATTTTTTGATTAGTTTTTTTTTCTTATTATTATTTTTATTATTTGGCGTTTTCCTTTCGTTCATCTTAACCTTTCATTTATTATTTTATAATTTTTTTCCCTGAATCCAATATTCAATGAAAGATGCTGGATGAAAAAGATAAGCAGAAATAAATAACGTTCACAGCTTAACCCAAAAGCTCTAAGCTAGCAATAACAACAATAACATCAATAGCCCCAGAGATGTGAACAAGCGAAAATAATGAAATGAATTATTACGAGCATACCATTGTGAGCACGTAAAAGAGTATCGTTTTCAAAAAGTCGGCGTCGGTCATTTCAATCTTAAAGCGTCTGCCATTGTGATAATTCGCACCCATAATGCCGACGAAGATGAGCCGGAAAAAACGCGTGTTTCCCAACTCAATTTACATTAACATCTGCTCATACGAATGATCATTTTAAACGTTGTATGCTACAAACTACATCACTACTGCCCAAGAAATGTTGGATTTATTCGTGCTGAATTTTCCAGTCATTTTTGGAGAAAACAGTGTACCATACAATGTTCATGGCTTACTCCATGTAAAAGAGTCAATCCAGCAAATCGGTGACCCGGTTTCAGGCTCTTCTTACTTCTTCTAGAATTATTTACAAACTCTGACAGGTTAGTCCGAAAGCCCACCCTAATCTTAGAACAGATTAATAGAAAGATAGTTGAGGATAGTAATATTCGGGTGGAATTAGAAATGGTACAGTTATTAGGTAGTGTTTAAAAGCCACAAAATCAAATATACATTTTTCGATTCTTTTTTTTAATACACACGACAGGATGTCGGAGCCACAAAAAAATACAAAAGATGGTGTACCATGTCAAACGTAATTAAAATAAAATCTAATAAAATATAATTGTTAAATTTTCACATAAATTCCTTCTTTTTAGGAGATGACTTCTTGGATGAATCTTTGGAGGCCAACACATTCCAGGTGTCGAAGCTGACTGCCATGCTGGAGGTCTTTCTTAAGGGAGGCTGAAGGCATGCCAGTCAACTTTGAATTCCCGGTCAAAGGGGACGAAGAGTTGGCTGCACTAGAGCTGGAGCTAAGACCGGAGACTATGTCCTCGTGCGCATTACAAATACTCTTTCTTGCTTTACAGTATACATAAATCCCTGAGCAAATGCAAATGAGTGTCGGATTCTGTAACTTTAACCCATTATATGGGAAGGGACGTGACAGAGGCGGTACGGGTATGGACCATCGGGGCTCGAGAAGTGACCTCCTCCAACTCCTTTGGCCAAAGATGTAAACATAAATAAAACTTTAATCATTAATTGTTTCTTTTTATTATCTCTAAAAAAAAAAAAAAAGAAGTGTCCATTTCCACACCGCCCAGCCTGGCAGACACCTGTCGAACAACAGGCGACTATCTATGGTATGGCCCTCTTTATATAGGGCCTGTCAAGGTTTAGTGTGGCCGCCACTTTGTATGAGATTATACCTTCTTGGTGTGACCGTCGCTAGCTTGAGCAAGTAAGATCGTAGGACGGCGCGCCCATCTGATTAAAATTTGTGTGAAAGAAGAATTTAATTTTTGATTTTCTCAAAATCTGTCGGATAAAATTTAATACGATTTAATTCGAAATTAGAGCTCAATTTTCCCCTTCTATTGATATATGTTGGCACAAATTCGTTGAGGATTCAAAAAAATTTTTAAAATTAAGCCTAGTACTCTGATGACGAAAATCCGCTGTAACATTGTGTTCTAGAAGAATCGCCATATCATTTGCTCGGTAACAAGTGTGACCAACAAAATTAAGGAAAAGACATGAAACGCCATGAAAATGTACCTTTTTTTTGGCGTTTAAGGCTTTTCTTTGGTTGCTCTGGACAGATGTTTGTAAACAAACGCAGCGTGACGCAGCAGATGAAAGTTGATTTTGGTCCAGAATAGATCCCCGACGGTCGTAGTTATAGTTTAGAAGGCGGCTCAGCCCACCCAAAAAAGATATGGACTACTTTAGACAGAAGAAAAGGAAAAAGGTGGACACGTGGCAGGTAGCGATTTACCTGTGCAAGCCCAAACCCAAATGACTTTTTTTCGGATTGGCTTATTATTATTTAAGCAAAAACCATGACGATAGGTATTCTACTTTTTGTGTAATATTACCTATTTTCTATCAGGCCTGCTCCGGTAATCGAAAACGGCAAGATTTTTTCGT